CCGTACAACAGAGTGCGGTAAGCATCGGCGACCATGCTACCAATGTAACGGGCGCTGTAAGGCTTGCCGCCGTTTTCGGGGTACTTGAGGCTGTGGAAGTAGGCATTGCACCACTCGTCCCAGTACTGGCTATTGCCCTCGTTGACAGAGTAGATGGAGCGCGCTGCGGGCAGTCTCATGTTGGGGTGGGTGAGGATGAACTCGCCGAGCGAGTTCTCGAGCGTGAAGCCGTTGACACCGCCGCCGCGCATAGTGATCACCAGCTGCGCTGAGGCACCGTACATGGTAAAGCCGGACGCCACCAGGCTGGTACCTGGGTGGAGCAGGTCCTGTGGGCCGACGGTCTTATTGGGACCCAGAACCTCGTCGGGGAGCTGGAAGATACCGAAGATGGTGCCGACAGACACACCGGCGTCCAGGTTGGAGGAACCGTCGATGGGATCGCAGACAACAGCGTAACGAGCATTGGGGTGCTCGTCGAATCGAATCACCTCCTCTTCTTCTTCTGAGACGACAATGCGGCACTTGCCAGAGCCACGCATGGCGGAGATAAAGATGTCATTGCCGATCACGTCCAGCTTTTTCTGATCATCACCGGTTATGTTTGAGGAACCAGCGAGTCCGGTAAGGTTGATCAGGGAGGCACGACGGATGTAGTAGGCAATTGACTTGAAGGAGAATTGGAGGGCATGGCACAGGAGGGTGAAGTCACCCGAGGCTTCAGGGTACTTAATCTGTTCTTCTGTGAAGAACCGGGAAAGTGTGACGATATCAGTGTTGATGTTCTCCGCTCCGACGGGGGGTGCTGTAGCCATTTTGAGATATTGTTGGAAGGATTTAGGGTATGAAGATTGAAATGTATAACAATTGAGTTTCAAGTGAAGAGTAGGTTAAATAGTAGAAGTGGCAATCTCAAAACAAGGCAGATAAAGTAAGAAAAAGTAGTTGAACGTCAGTGAGGGGGGGATTAAACCGGGTAGAAGTACGGAGATTGGGGGAGTGACCTCAGACCTGTTTTCGTCATCTTGCCCCGCGTGACCTGCCCGGACCCTCGTCCCTCGCCCGGTTTCCCCCCTTTGCCGGGAACGCCCGTCTCTTAACTATACAGCTCCCTATCAAATATCAACTATTATCTGTTGATCGCTGCAGAAATTTGGTATTTTAGAGATAAACCCCTAAGCTCTCTCCAATTAGCTATACGCCCATATCAATATGTCCACGCTAATAGAAGATGCGCTGTCCTAAAGTCTAGATCTTCCCGGTCTTTTCCTTGTCCGACTCGGCCTCGGCCTCGGGATCAGCAACGGAAGAATAAATTCCCTATACCCCACTCATAGTCATGCGCACTTGAAAAGATCTTGAAATTTAGGTAATGTCATTGGTGTACCTCAATGTACCTAATTAAAGGGGGATATCTGCGCTATAAATGATAGTGCGGTGTGGATATGTGCAGGGATCTACATCAATGGAACAATAACAGGTGGGACAGATCGGTAATCAATATAGATAATGTATAATTCTAGACCCTTTACAATACAAAAAGGAGACAGGGAGTAAGACAGTCCCGTGTGTTGTAGAAAAAGAAAGGAAAAAGACTAGTCCACGGGGTCCTCCTCCAACAGAGTCTTGAAGCTGAAAGGCAAGAAAGGAATACCCTCACCAACGAAATGCTTGCTCATCGCCTCAACCCAGTGAAGACGAAGCGAGTGCAACATGGCACTAGTACCTTCCATCACACACAGAATGCAAATCGTCAGTACAAACCAGAGATAGAAGCTGACAACAATCATGATAACACGGGTCACGGGGTTCTCCTGCTCAAAGGCACCACCAATGGTCATGGTCCAAAGAACGATGGAGAGTTGCTGGTGGGCAAGTGACAGAGCCCACAGACGAAGGTAAGAGGCAGTGTGAGAGATACAGTTGAGACAGAATTCGATGGTGTGGATGACTTGGTGGATCATGATGTCGCCAAAGTCGAACTCCTCGTGCTCGTCGCTATCATCGATGTCCTGAGAAAGCATGGCCACGCCTTCTCCGTCGCTAGCCAGACTGTCACGACCAAGCCCGCCGTCTATATCACCATCGGCATCAAGTGCACTCACACGGGAGTTCTCGCCAAGGCCGCGGTAACCCAGGGCACGAGCACGGTTATGTTCATAGCGGAGCCAGAATGGCTTGAGGAAGAGCATAATAGGTACCTGGGCCACAGCGACGAGGAGCAGAAGAACCTGGACCAAGCTCTGGCCAGGATAGAGTTGTTCTTCCACCGTACCAGGGCTCAGGAACATGAAAATGAGCATGTTCAGGAGACCGGGGGGGTTCACACCCTTCTCTTGCCAGTTCACGGACCACTTGTAGAGAATAGTGAGGACAAGGTAACCAAAGATTGACTGGAAGAAGAGCAATCCAGGAACGAAGTTGCCCCAAATATCAACCTTGGACTTGAAGTGCCGTCCATTGACGTACTGCAAGCAAAGGGCATAGGTCATGTGGCACCATCCAAGGAGCACACTCATCTTCATCTTCATACTGTTCGAAAAGAGCAAGGAGTTGTCCGCCTCGTGCCAGTTCCAATCCAATCCAATTGGATAGCGATAGCCTTCTTTCAATGTCGCCTCGATCATTTGGCTGGGCTTGATCTCCTCGGGCCACTGCCACTGACTGGGGAAGATGGTGAAAGATTTGGAGAAAATATCGTTGTAAATAAAACCGGTGTAGATCGAGAACAGACCCATCATCAACATGATGTATCGTCCATAGAATGCCATGTATGTCAGTTCATCCAGTTTAGTCCGCGCCAGCTTCTTTTCCCAGAAGATCATAGCAGAAGCGGCTAGGGTCATCAGTGCACCATGACCGCAATCACCGAACATGACTGCGAACAAGAAGGGGAAAGTGACAACCGTGTACAGACCAGGGTTGACTTCCGAATACTTGGGGATACCGTAAGCATTAACAATGGTTTGGAATCCTTCGGTGAACTTGTTCGTCCTGACAAAAGTTGGAGGAGTCTTGTTGGTGCGGATCTGATTGACAATTGTAGGAACGGTGAGGCCCGCGCGGTCGTTCACATCCTGAAGGGTTGACTTGATCAGAGCAAGAGAATTTGTTGGGCACCACGCCTCAGCAATCAGCGTCTTCCGCGCTTGATCATATGAGAACTTGTTCAAGGTATCGTAAACGGCCTTTTCCTTCTTGACAATGATCATCCATGCGGCGAGCGAGCGAGCAATTTGCGAAAGTTCCGCATCAAGGGTGTTCTTGGTGTTACGGAGCACATTGCCAACATCGCCGAGACGGGTATTCACTTCGTGAATCTGGTCCCTTCTCAGTTCGCTGTTCTCATCAACACCGTACAAAGATGCGTTGAGCGACTCCGAAATCTTTCGAATCTTGGCAAGGATATTCTTGCCATGAGCGAAGATGACGAATACATTCTTGTGGACTTCCTCGTTGGTCATCGGGTCAATAATGGGCTCCGCGATCTCGGACTGGTTCATGTAAAGGTTTCCACGCAGGGTGCGCCAGAGGATACGCTCAAAGGCTCCAATGCGATCCCGGGGGATAACACCAGCGACGAATCCAATGTTCATTTCCGAGAAGCTCTGCTGACCCTGAGTGTCTCCATTTTGATGGGGGGCGTGGTGCTCAACGTCGCGGAGCAAAGGAGCTTCATCGTTGTCAAAGGACTGGCGAATGTCTTCCGTTTGTGTATGGGCCTATTCAGTTAGCCTCGTCTATCAACAGCGGTATAATCGAGGCCACCTACCCGATCGAAGAATCCACCGGCCTCTCGAAGTACCCATCGCCATTCGCTCAGCTCCACTTCACGCTTCTTCAAGGTCTCATAGCTATCGTTCAGGGAGATAATCCGCTGTTCAAGGCTCTCGCTGCGATCGGCCAACTCATCGATTTCCGACGCTAAAGGGGCAGCCAATGTATCGGAGAAATCAGAGGAAGATCTCATAGGGATTGCGGCCTTTTCCATCTGTTGATGGAAGTAGCGGAGTTGTCTTTCGACATTGTCCAGTCGACGGATTTCTTTTGTAAAGGTTCTTTGGAAAGCGTTCGTGTCCGGATTGAGCTAGAAAGAGGTCAGCGGGGAGCATCAAACCAAAGCGTTCTTCGTCACTTACATCTCGGAACTGAACCTGACCAACTTCACCTAAAGCACTGACAACTTCTCTGCCGATCTCGTTGGCAATGTAGAGCTGGGTCAAGCTCATATCCGCCGAGCGGAAGAAGGTGTCCCGCGGAGCCATGGTGGAAGGAGGCTACCAGGAGCCGTGTCTTTTGGTAAGAAGACAGGGGAAGAGGAGGCTAAAGAGCGACAGTAGACTAGATTCAATGAGAGGCACAGATGCTCGGCTCTGTTGATGCAGATAGTCCGGGCTCTATTTGGACTTGTTCTCAGGTGGCTCTGTCAAGCTGGCTGCATCCAGCCACGTGATTTAGTTTTCACGTGATGTCATGAGACGTCTCTTCTCCAACGTAGTACCTACTTACGTCGTATAGTTCCCTTTAAACCACTCCCGATTACAACCACACCTGAACAGAAATAGTGGCTTATTGCCATTTTGATTTTTTTTTCCTGTATTTCGAGAGTCTGAACCAGTGGGAGATTCGTCCTAAATCGCCTACCAGGGAATGGGAGCAGGTCTCCCCAACTGATCATAGTTGAGGAACGAGTATGCCATCGCATGCTACAAAATAGATGACCCCTTAAGAGTTATTAGGGCCTATATATACTGCCACGATGCTGTCAGAAAATCCGACGGTTTCTATCTATGAACAGAGTACATCTTGTTTCTAAAATCTTTTAGTCGAGTCCATAGTTGGATTTTCTTATTCAATCTCCTTGTTTAGATTAGCGACTTACATAGTGTATCCCTCTTAAGATTCTAGATATACAACACTTCCTTTTGGTCACAGATCTGGTGGCTAAATTGAAGTACCGCTTCCTCTTTCACGTATCACCGGCTTGTCGCGATAGTTGCTCATTCCTCCCCTTCCTCTCCCTCTTCCTCTTTCTCGCCATCTTCTTCACGGTTCCTCTCAACGTCTTCCTCGCCATCTTCCTTCAAAGAGACATACTTCATGGCTTCAAACACTTGGTTAATATCAGATTTCAGAGAGATAAAACCAGTATTGATTTGCTTTTGCTGTATTTTAGTGGGCCCCCCATTGAGAAAATCGAGCATGGCAAACTGGATGCTCAAATAGCGAGATTGCACAGTATGAATGCCCAGGTTTTCGGTTGTTATTTGCTATTGAACACAATATGTACTAACCATACCCAAGATGCAATCAAGGTGTCAAAGACATCATAGTCAGTGTCCTAGAATTTGTTTAAATTCCCTGCTGTAAAATCACTCGCAGTGACGGTTCGCAGCAAGATATATGAGGGTTAGGCAGGCAATTTTGATCCTAGACCCTCGAACATCAATAAACCACCACCAAGTGGGTCAATGCTTCGTCTGCCATACTATCTGCTAGGCTTCTCTAATTCAAACAGTGCAACCACGTCACCCTCGATCGACTCCTCGCGATAGATACTAAATCCAGTCTTCTGCAGCACCTTCACACTGCCAATATTCGCCCCATTGCACGCCGCAAACAGCTTCTCCTTTCCCAAATCTGATCCCGTCCCGTCAAACTCCATTCTGTCAAGCTTCCACCATGCATCTATAATACCAGCAACTGCCTCGGTGGCATAACCCTTTCCCCAGAAGTCAGGATGTACATTGTACCCCACTGACGGGGCTGGGCTAAGAGCATTGATTCCTGCTCCCCCGATAACCGTTCGTGATGAATCCTCGGAGCGGATAATGGCGAAGAAGAATTTCCGCCCAACGGCTCCTGACGCATCCGGTGTTGTGAATGTCTTTTTGGTAATGATAGCCTCGGACTCTGATATGTCTTTGTGGGGGACTTTGGGCCAGCTACAAATAGTCACGTCAGTTTTTATCCTGGGCTATCATAGTAGCTGCTCCTAGGGTGCGGTCTTACAGCCAGTCCGCCACGTCTTGTCGTCGTCAGATCTCAAAGATGGCCGCGGCGTCAGCCACTGTCAGCGGTCGTAGATACAGACGACTTGTGTGTATATGTTCCACATCCGCTGGGATGATCACGGATGTAGATTGATTGGGGTAGAAGCTCATTTCGACGGAATATGTGATGTGTTTGGACCTGGGTTGCGTGTTGTATATCGACACGATAATTATATATCTTTACAACTCTCTTCGTTCCCGTTATCTGACTTGAAAATTTGCGACTAGGTTACTACTGAAAATTTTTATACCGTTATGCCATATCCTGCGTGAGTCACGGTTGCGGGGTCTTGCTCCCGGGCCTGGACCCGGACTAGGACCCGGACTACAGCAAGTGTTGATTCTCTTATACTAGCGATATATGCAATACATGATCAGAAGGGTGTAACAGAAAAGGATAGGGAATACTTGTGGCTTGAATAGAACTCGGTAGAAATATATATTAACATCCGAGGTCGACCACCCACCCCCACGCCAGTAACTCATTTCCAGCCCATTCGAAGCTCCAATATACAGTGTCTGTCGCCTTCTTAACCAAAGGGCTTGTGAATTAAAGTCCAAATTATTTAGATATTGACAATTTATACCCATAATACATAGTCGTAGGGAGAAAACAAAGCAAGCTCAACCCCATCGTTATCGGTAGACACGAGCTCCCGTAGACCGGAGTCAACGACACAGGAACAGATATGTCAAGCCATACATCAGCGTATCGGCTTTAACTTAGGCACCGCCATCCCTCTTTGCGTATTCCTCCTCCATGCGCTCCTCGTACAGGCGATCGGCCTCCTCCTTGGTCAGAGCGCGACCACTATCAGCATCCTGCGACGCACTAGCCGAGCTGCTAGGCGCGGTCCCGAGATAGCTGTTGTTGTTGACATGATCGGGGGAGGTGTGGGTAGCAGAGCTGGGAGGTTGTGTGCAGTTGGCTTCGTTTTGTTGCTTGTCAAAGAGGTCGGCAGTGGGGACGGGCATCTTGAGTGAGGTTGAGTTCTTTGGTCGCGATTGCGGCAGTGATTTTGAGGAAATTAGGTTGGAGTTAATTATGGTAGACTAGAATTCAAGTTGGTATGAGTTTGGCTTTAGTAGGATGTGACAGATGGGTTTTATTCTAGCAAGAGTTGGCCTGGTGGTCTGTCGCCACACATGTGGCGAAGCTAGTGAGTCGGACGTCATGTCAACAAATCGGGGCCTGGAAGTGATAATCCAGCAGTTCAGTGATGGTAGTAAGGAACACTGAGCACTGAAGGACTGTGGAATGAAGATGCAGTGAATGGACCATCATTTACTGATCATGACAGCCAACAGCCTTTAATGCGCGTCGAGGGAGCCCGACAGAACGGTGAAGGTGTACGTGCATGAAGGGTACAACAGAAATAATTGTCACTAGTGCTTTATTGACGCTTTGTTCTAAACTACGTGTCACGGCCACATCTCATCTCCAACCTCGAGCCACTGGCTCAAAACTTGATGAAAAGAGTTCCACGAATGGAGAGTGCCAAAGAATACGCCTGTCAATGACCACGAAGGCCATTGAACAAACTGTTCCGCCGCGCTGTGCAATGCAGGGACCAATCTGTGGTGAGCTGCCTTTATGATCGCATCCACCCAAACAAGGTAAGTATGAAGAAGAAAAGAGAAGAAGAGGAAAAGCCGGGCGAGCTGGCTCTATTTATGCAAACTTCCAAAGGCGGTGGCAGATTCCAAAGATTTGTAGCGAGATCTAATTGGCGAATAGCCGAGACCACGTGATATTGCCAAGACCTGGCTGCATGTGATATGACTCATCCACCGCCCTCCCTTTTTGGATCTTTCTGACCTGTCAGCCTGAGGAATGGGCCTACGGAGTAGGTACATCGTACAACGTACAGGACACAGGTACCATGCATTTGCATTTATCCCTTAGGCATTCAAAGTAAACGCTTGCGAGTGAAAATGAAATACTGAGCCAACACACAGACCACAGACATGAATCAATAATTGAAACCTCCTTGTTCGACACTCGACACCTCAAAAACAAGCCAAACTCCATCCATACCCGAGCTTGTGTGGATCCTCCCCTATTCCACAACTTTGTATTGTGGCTCTCACCTCCTTCTCACCTCCCGTACGACCCAAAAACCCGAAAGACGTTTGAATCACAAATTCATTTAGATATTATCCGTCGGAAGTATACCTTTGGTCAGAGTGTTCTACAAGATTAAATCGGGTGAGAAACCCACAGTTAATATCAAGCTAAGATTAAGCAAACGCCTATCCTCATCAAAGTGTGCCATGGTTAAGATAGCCTAGTGGACGCTAGAGTCATCGGGGGGCATCGGAGAGCTTAGATAGACGGGAAATCCGTCCCCTGTGTACACCGCAGGTCAAGTTGGTGCTTGGCGCGAAGTATTAAGATTAATTTACTCCGTAACGCGCTCGGGAGATATGTTCTATCTTTCTCGAAAGTGAAGTACCTATGTGGACCTAACTGTAGTCCTGCTGCTGTGGCACTATATTTTAGTTTCTTTTTATTCCTCTGCTCAACGCGTACGGAGTACTCCGTACCGTATGGAGTATAGCCATCTGCATCATGTACGGTACAATGTATGTCCCTGGAGCAATCACAGATACAATGTAGTCGGATGGAGTAATATGCATCCTGAAACAGCGGGAAAGAGTCCCTAGGCGCTCGGGCTCCGCTACGCATGGCACTTGCATGGTGTCAAAATTTAGTCCATACGTCGACAAGAGCGAAAGAAAGATCGACAAGCTTGACTTGGGACAGTGATGTGATCGACGATGACCGGTGAATTCCAACCATTCATAGGACGTAGTAGGAGCAGGGATAAGAGTCGGGACTCGCGACCGCAAAAAAAGGGCGGCAGGGTTGGTAAATAATGGTACATCGTAGCGCTGGTGGCCCCAACGGGTGCAAAAGGGGGTCATGATAGGGTGTGATGAGTTATCGAGCAGGGGGTGGATTCCCCCGTGTGTCTATCATTACTTGAAATGCTTCGATAGCCACATTCTGGCTGCCAGTGTTGGGACTATGAGCTCATGGTGCTCTGGTGGTAGTATGTTGTACGGAGTAGATCAGAATCATACAATGTACCTATAAAATGGTGCCACACTACACCGTACATTGTATGTTGTATAGCCGGGAGAAAAAAAAAGGGACTCCGTACCACGGTACTCTCTATTCTCGTGTTGGGCCTGCAGACGCTATCCTGTCGATGAACCATGGAAACGATGCCAAATAAAGTGCTTTGATTCACCTAGGCAGAGTTTGTAGGGCTGGACAACCCCCTATTCGCCAAGACTCAAAACTAAATGCATAGCACAGTGGGGACGTACTTTTTGATTTTACGGAGTACATCTTGTCACTGATAAATCTACTCCGTACTCCGTACAATATAGAAAAAAATTAATGGCGTACGGAGTATGTTGTAAAGGGCGAAAGAAAAGGGGCTTAATTAGGGGCATTATTTTCCAGGTTTGTGGACCTTGGTTCGAGTTTCAAATGTGTTCTTTCGTGCAACTATACAAAGTAGTGCACTTCATACTCTGTGGATTGGTATTGTGATGAGACGATCCTCGTATGGAATGATGCGCTTATCACGTAAAGAGGCGACACCATGGAAATGTGCTGGGATTGGCCCGACACAAACATCATGGGATCCTTCCCGCAGCGCGATAAAGATAGTTGATACGCCGATAGGGATGTACATCAAAGCCAGAGCCAAGAAGGAGGGGTTGTGTTACTGCTGGTTGGTTGTCCACGAGGGTTTGCACGCGCCACTCCATCATAGAGTTGATATCTGGTCATGGGGTCTGAGTAAAGATTGCACCAGGAAGTCGTGATGGCCAACCATTCTGTAGAACCTAAAGATGAGTGCATGGCCCTAATAGCCAATACCCAGCCTAAGCCATGCGAATGAATGCGACAAAGTTCATACAACATATGTACGGAGTACTGGGCTGATCATCACGAAGGAAGCAAAATGACGGTCTGCCTTGTGGTGAGGGGCATGGAATACTGGAATACAGGGATGCCCCTCCAAAGGGATAATTCTAGTACCGATATGGCCCTTCCGAGGGATGGAGAGCCTTGCAAGCTCGGATCGAGTTCTCGACTATGCGGAGTAATACGAAAGAACCATTGAAACACTTAGTTGATTTGATAATGAATGGATCATTTCAGTAATTCTGACGGCAACCCCCCCCCTTGAACTGTGTAACGGGATGGTTGAAAGCGATGATGGAATGAGCGCCAACGTTGTGGCGGCCCACCGAACAATTATAGAACCTCCTTACGGGTCCAGGAAGTATGAGATTGTGCACTTATACTTTTTGATAGTCTTATGACCTGCCATCCAAGATGACCCCGCCATGACGATATGGGATGGCACTTTGTATATGTTTTTCGTACAGAATAGAATGCACATGAAACAAAAAGAAGTGTTGCGAGACAATATTATCAAATCGGTTGAGAGGATCCGAACTGCACGGATGAATTAGGGGAGACTAGACGGGACCGTTGACTCAAGCTGCATGGCCGATCATGGCTCGGGTGGCCATGGTGTGATGGTTTCATACGGAGTACAGATGAAAGCCAAGATTTGCAGAGTTTTCTTTTCTCCTATTTCCTTGATGTTTATAAACTAAATTCAGTTAGATCAAGTCTAGCGCCGTGCTAGACAAAGGAAGTTCGTATCTTTACGAAGTATCCCGTGGACGGTACGGAGTACATCCAGATGTACTCCGTATAGATTTGGATATATGTTCCACGGCTACAAAGTTGGCTGCCCTTGGAACCATATTACAGGTAACATACATGTAGTAAATTTGAGACATTGCAAAAAGAATTGTGAATAGTTGAAAAAAAAAGAATAGAAGTAATAATAATACAACCAAAAAATGTACAAAAAATAAGAAAAAAACAGTAAAAAAAATTGAAAGCCAAAAAAAAATAAAAATAAAAAATAAAAAACAATTAACCCCTGAAGTGCCATTAGCTAATCCAGTGGGTCCACTGAGCTCTGGGCTCCCTGCAGGTCCTTTCCTTTTTTGGGAGGACGCCATCAACAACCCTCTGACTCTTTTTTTCCCTTTTCCTTTCCTCTCTTCCCTTCTTTCTCCCACAAAGCAAAATAACCTACTTCGTGATACCCCGAGCTCTCGTGCTCTAATTTCCTTTGCTTTTCCTTTGAGATACCCTATACCCAACACGCCTTATTCCCTTTACGAAGCTCTGCTTCTTTAATACGTTTATTATTTTAATCATGTCTGAAGTCCAGAAGACTGTTGAGGAGACCCCCGCGGTCGTCCCTGCCGTTGAGACTGCCGTTGAGGCCCCTGTCGCTGAGGCAGCGGTTGAAGCTCCCAAGGAGACCACTGAGGCCGCCGAGCCCACTGCTACTCCCGCTGTTGAGAGCACCGAGACTGCCGAGCCCGTCAAGGAGGAGGTGAAGCCAGCCACTGAGGGTGTTCTGGGCCACAAGGGCCCTGGTCTCGTCAAGTGAGTTGCGACTAAGATCACGCACGCGACACAGAAACTAACGAGTATGCTTGTTTTTCTTTCAGGGGCTTCCGCTTCGCCAAGCGCTTCTTCTACTTCAACGAAGAGGCCGTTGAGAGTAAGCAGCTCTCCGTCTTCCAGCAGAACGAGAAGGCCGCTGTCGCCAACCCTACCGCCGCCTGGGCCAGCCAGACCGGAAAGGGTCTGCTTTTCTTCACCAAGCGCGCTGAAGACAAGGCCACACCCGCTGGCATTTTCAACCTCGTAAGTGCTTTCGCGATTGTACCGCGATGCGATATACACTAACATGTTCAATAGGCCGATGTCTCCGATGTGACCAAGGAGGGTACCAGCGAGTTTCTCTTCAAGGTTGCTGGCCACAAGCACACCTTCCAGGCCTCAAGCGCTGCTGAGCGTGACAGCTGGGTTCTCGCCATCGAGACGCAGGCCACCGAAGCTAAGGCCGAGAAGGAGACCATCATCTCTAGCGAGGGTTACAAGGCCGAGCTCGAGAAGCTTACCAAGCCTGCCGTTGTCGTTGCCGCCGCCAAGAAGCCCGAGGAGAAGAAGGAGGAGACCCCCGCTGTGGCTGCTGAGGCCGCTCAGGAGGAACCCAAGGAAGAGAAGAAGGAGGAGAAGGCCCCCAAGAGCCGTTCCCAATCCCGCAAGCGCACCAGCATCTTCGGTTCCCTCCTCGGTAAGAAGGACGCCGAGGAGAAGAAGGAGGAGACTCCCGCTGCTGAGGAGACCAAGGCCGTCGAGCCTACCGCCGAGCCTACTGCTGAGCCCTCCGTCGAGGCTGTTGCCCCTGTCGTTGCTGAGACCACCGAGGCTGCTGCTGCCCCCGCTGAGGTTGTTGAGCCTACTGCTGAAACCCCTGCTGAGACTACCGAAGCCGCTAAGGAGGAGGTTAAGGATGAGAAGAAGGCCGAGAAGAAGGCCAAGCGTGCTTCCATCTTCGGCAACTTCTTCCAGAAGGTCGCCAGCCCCTCCCACGAGAAGTCTGAGAAGGAGGCCACTGCCCCCGCTGCTGAGGAGACTCCCGTCGCCAGCACCGCTCCTCAGCTCGAGAACCCAGTCGAGGAGGCTGCCGTCAAGCCCATCGAGACCGAGGCCGTGACTGCTCCCGCTGAGGCCGTTGAGAGCCCTGTTGCTGAGACCCCCGCTGCTGAAGCCGTCTCCAGCCCCAAGGAGAAGCGCCGCACCTCGTTCTTTGGCAACCTCGGCATCAAGAAGGAGAAGAAGACTGACTCCTCTGACAACGAGGTCACCGATGGTGAGGCCAAGGAAACTAAGGCCAAGAAGCTCGGTGGTCTTTTCCGCAAGCCCAGCAAGGCTGTCAAGCTTGACAAGGAGGAGGTTACTGCCACCGAGACCGAGGCCAAGGCCGAGGCCGCTGAGGAGGCTCCCGCTGTCCCTGCCAAGGAGACCGCCGCTGAGGCCCCCGCTGTCGTCGAGGAGGCCCCCAAGGCTGTTGAGACTGCCGAGGACCCCAAGAATGTCAACGTTGCCGTCGCCACCCCTGTTCAGGCTGCCGCATGAAGTGCGACTCGCAGACCTGTCGTGGAGTTTGAACGGTGGTGGGACATGTCCTATCCACCGTCAGCCCGCGATATCCCTGATGGTCTAATTGAGTCCTGAAGGTGCAAATTTGATACCACTTCGCGCCGATTGTTTTTTTTTTATTTTTTTTATTTTTTTTCCCTCGCCACTGTCGCTGTTTCCAGTACCCCATGGCCCCCCTTAATCTCGGGCCGGGACCTGGGATAGCGACAATGAGATACCCGCTGTCGCTTTTTTCCTTCGATCTCTATTTCTCTAAAATAATACCATCGGCGCCAACGACGCCAGCAGCCCTTTGGACTGCGGTTCACTCCTTTACGACCTACGTCCTGCGACTGTGATTCTACTCGCGACGCGATTATGCGCTACGTGGTGCGTCGTCCGACTAGATTGATACCACTCTGCCGTTTTTTTTTTTTTTTGGTTTCCTGATTTTGTGTTTGATACCCTGTGGGGAGGATGGGTGCTCTTTTTGCTTGTTGCTTGAGCTTTGGATCTGGTCTTTTGACTTGTTTCTTTCTGCAACCCAAATTGACCCTCTAATGTTGTCTACCGTTATTGTCCCGAACGGCTGGTTTATATTCCGCCCGTGGAGGTGGCACACCTTGCGATAGGTAATACTTAATAGAATCTCTCAGTTTTTGCTTTATGTATACGTCTTTTTTTTATCAAACCTAGCCAAACGTAGTCTCTACAACTCGATTAATAGTTCAGTGTCGCCAAGGTGAGCAGGTGACAACCTTGCGGGAGGCGGGCCGAGGCTGGAGCCAGCCTTGGAATCTCCACTACCCCACATGTCTGTATGATAATGGGGACACCTTTTCTACTCTGTTTCTTCCCATATGCCATTCTCGATAGTCTCCTACTATGGCGACTACAGCGATAGAGGTCCGTCTCCTCGAGCGCGAAGCGTTCACCATCTTGCCCGACCTACAGCAACACCAACGGCAGCAGCAAAACCAACCTGCCACGGAAACCTCGGCACAGACAATTGAGCCTCTCAACATCGAATCTACCGTAGACATAGAGCCAATCTACCCAACAGGCACCAAATTTTGGCTCACAATCATTGCACTATGCATCGTCCTTATCCTCGGAGGCCTAGACGTCAACATTGTCGCTACAGCCGTGCCGAGCATCACTAACCACTTCCATACTGTCGCCGACGTGGGATGGTACTCATCTGCATTTCGACTTTGCACGTGCGCGTTTCAATTCGGTTTCGCCAAGCTGTATAAGCTCTTCTCAATCAAAACCATCTTCTTAATAAGCATCGTTATATACCTCATAGGCTCTTTACTCTGTGCCACGGCTGCTTCATCGATCATGTTCATTGTAGGGCGAGCAGTGACAGGTCTAGGGTTCTCGGGTGAGATGGCTGGGTGTTTTGCGGTCCTCGTGCACATTCTACCGCTTAACAAGCGACCGGTGTTTGCGGGTTTGATGGCGTGTGTGGAATCGCTTGCCATCATTTCAGCGCCTATAGTAGGCGGTGCATTGACGCAGTCTTTGGGGTGGAGATGGTGTTTCTGGTATGCTATTCTAATCACAGATATGATCAAGGTATGTATTTTTACGCTGACTTCTGAGTAGGATCAACCTTCCTATTGGCGGCTTATCGCTGCTGGCTATGTTTTTCCTCTTTTCAGACCCAAGAACCCGTCAAGAGGACGACATGACACTATCTCAGAAAATCAAAGAGCTGGACCTCGTCAGTAACTGCTTGTTCATCCCATCCCTCACGGCCCTCTTCATCGCGTTATCTTGGGCGGGAACAAAGTATCCTTGGTCAGATGAGAAAGTAATTGCATTATTCGTTGTATTTGGTGTGCTACTTGCCGCTTTCGTCTTCAATCAATATCGGCGCGGAGACTCGGCAGCACTCCCTTTCCGCATTATCAAAAGCCGAAGTGTTATTGCGGGCTTCATCTTCACCACTTGTACCAATTCGATGACGAACGTTTTGGAGTGGTACTTACCAACATACTATCAAGTCGTTCGATCTCGGGTAAAACTTAGTGGCCAATTCGTGAGTATAAGAAATTGCACTAACAATGCTATGTCCTACTAGACCCCAAGTGAGAGTGGTTACCTAATGATCCCCAAGCCGCTGTTCAGACAACCCTGAGTGTCGCAGATGTCAACCTTGGCATCGGGGTCATATTGTTTGGGCAAAGTATGGGACCGGCGGTGTTTATCGCTATTGCGCAGGTTATATTCACGAATCAGTTGTCGTCAACTTTGGAAGACGTTGTCCCAGGGTTGAGTCCTAAGTTTGTTGAAGAGCATGGACTGGGCGATATAAAGAATGGGGTTCCTATGGACCGGTGGGATGAGGTCTTGGGTGGTATCAATGGGAGCTTGACTCATACTTGGTACCTTCCTGTCGCGTTGGCTTGCATGACGATGGTGGGTAGTCTTTTGATGGAATGGCGCTCGGTTAAGCAGAAGCAGTCGTGAAGTATGGGTTGGCGGTACGGAAGGAGCGGTCAGACAGGGAAGGTTTGGGGGTGTTCTTTTGAGATGTCTTAGACGTGAACGAAGGCGGTAAAAAGCATAAACCGTATAGATGCTTTTCTTCTTTTCTATGTATAAACGTGGGTAACCTTGGATAGTCATACAGCATACGGAGTAGTTAGTTACTACAACTGTCAGACGTGTTCATTTCCACATATCCTCGGAAAGCCCCACTCGCGAGGGAAGATCCGGTACGTGTAGTTGCATATGTATATGCAAGCAATAGTCGGAGTTGAGGATCCAGCGACCCCATCGCGATGCGTTGGTGGTATGGGGTGCATTCTTGCACTTGCCGTGCCAAATATGTAGCCTCATTTTAGAAAACCACCATTTGAGTAGGCAGAGAATGTATGGGGATATTGGCCTCTCACACGACCTCATAATCGTGGTTACCTACGTTTAACATTTTCAATATGATGTTCTATTGATTGTAAGAGGGTCGACAAAAATCTAGTTATACTAGGCAATAATGATGACATTTCTTTTTCTACTCCGTACGTAGACCTACACACATGTAAGGTGTCCTCCGGGCTCCTATTTCGGCGAAGCCTCGGCCCTCGCAAGCTCGGAAACATGAAAATCCACCAAAAAGAAAAAGAAAAAATCAATAAATTGGGTCTGGCTTACGGAGCAGTCCGTCCACAGGTACTCCGTATACTCCGTAGGTTTACTCCGTTAAGAGTTAGTTTAATAACTTTCGTTTAAAGTACTCCGTATGTTGTAAAATATCCCATTGAGCCATTTTGTTTTCTGAAACCAAGTACTATATAGAAGAAACACTGGTTTCAAATTACTATAAAAATCTATGTATCTATAACGTTGTACTCCGTGCGTTCAAAATATCTCAGTTTCAGACCAGATAGGATAAACGTCCCAAAGTCAATTTCACGCCCTTCAGCAGGACTAAGGAAACGTCAGCATCTCATAGGACATTGGCCCTGGACTCAGCCCACCACGGGGACACAATTGGGAAAAGATCGGTGGATCCTTTGCATTTCCCTGTTATCCTCATGGAGAACGGCTGTACCTCCCCGAGTCTCTACGCTGGTAGTGGGGTGGTAGCTGGAATTGTGGTTTTTGGTTCTTGGATGGAATTGATTTCCTTAGACCATAAAGATTCAATGTTGGTACGTTGGAAATGTGTGAGTTTGAAAATATTTGGGGAAACAAGAAAAATTAATGAAGAAAAAGCAAATCAATAAAAGAAAAAATAAAAAAACTCAAAAAATGTAGGATGCCTGGGTATTCCGGAGGGATAGGAAAATGATCGATGATTGGTCAATTTGTAAAGAATCGGAGAGGAACGTGGAGACAGGTACTTGAAAGATAGTAAAAAGATACTTGGACTATGTAGGTAAATGCAAGCGAATCTGCGGGTATCACCCCATGTACTGTGGACAGGATGGATGCCTTGTCCAATGTAACCAATCAGAACCACGGATCACACTGTGACTCACACCCCGTGACTTTCAAGAGTAAGCCCCGTGCGGCTCCGGAGTGCCGATTGGTCAGCACCAGGGCACACAGCCCTTAAGAAGTGCCTGAGTTCCCCCTCCCCGTTTGCCTGATTTTTTCTTCCCTCTTTATACCTGCTTTTCTTACACACACACATACCCCTTATATTCACATAAACCGCCATATTGCTATCAGACCAAAACTATACTCAACTTCACTATCGCCAAAATGGGTGCCCAATAAGCTCCCCGTCTTTCAATACCCAGTCTATCTCAACTGAGACAGACATCATTTCTTCAACCGGAACCAACCCTATTATCTCCTCTCTTCCCCCTTCAGAGTCTCCTTTTGGACCTCTGAACTTCAGCATCGCATCGCGTAGCTCGAGTTCTCCCAACAACTTTACCCCGACCGACTTTACGTCGTTCACCACGGATTACCACCAGCAACCATGGCTTCCCTCACCCCCACCATCACAGCCCTTGGCTTCCAATCAGAACAACAACAGCAACAACAACAGTGCACTCGAGGACTTTGTGCTCTATCCATCAGCAACACCACACCCGCAGCCCCGCTTGCGTGTGCCCGTGAACACTACCCATAGACCTTCTGCACTTCAGCCATTCCTGGCGCAGAATAACCCTCGACGACACTCCTTCAGTCTGCAGTTGCACCGTCATCTACAGCAGCAGTTCTCTGGCTCACCTGTTCAAGATCCCAGAGTGACCCAGCTTGCCCGGTCCCCCTCTTATTGGTCTCGTCCCACGTACACGCACAACCGTTCCAACACGGCTTCTGTGCCTTCCAATTCTCCAAACACCAACCGCCCTCCCATCCCACTTTTCAACGGTCAACAAAACCACACAAACAACACGCAAACATATAGACGTGTCATGTCCACTCCTAACTTCATGGAAGGTAATTTATCATACACCTCACTATATCCTAGTGAATATATTGCTAACCCCACTCCAGCTCACGAGGTTGATCTTTTCGGTCTTCCCTCTGCCGACTTCCCTGCTAACATGGCTTCGCCTCTCTCGTTCAACGATCTTGGTCTGGTCAATGACTTCTCCCCTGAAGGTCCCCCGGGCACTATCTCGCCCAGGGATCTCATGATGGATGCGTCTGTTCCTCCTTCTGGCACCTTCACCGACTTGAGCACTCCCTCGTTCGAGTCGCCTGGCAACTTCAGCCAGAACACCTCGCCCATGTTCACCGACATGGATATTGCCGGCCACGAAGAATGGCCCTCTCTCTTTGATCACTCGTCAGATCAACTCAATGCCTTTGATCTCGCTACCTTGGATGTCGCAGCTGCCTTCCCTACCGAACAGAAGAAGCCAGCCCTGTCAATTCCCATGTCTCCCGCCTCTCCTCGCTCGAAGCGATCGGTGGCATCGTCGCCTGTTCCTGCCTCAGGGACAGTCAAGCACTCCAGCGTCGCAGGTGTCAACGCGCGCTCGCGCAAGAACCTGTCGCCCGTGGAGTTCGATCCCAATGATCCTATCGCTGCCAAGCGTGCTCGTAACACCGAGGCCGCGCGTAAGTCGCGTGCTAAGAAGATGGAACGCCAGTACACTTCTGAGCGCCGCATTGAGGATCTTCAAAAGATCATCGCCGAGCGCGACGCGGAGATTGCCAAGCTTAAGGCTCAGCTCCAGATTCAAAACACCTACCAGTAATGGTGATTTCATCCCATCTTGGTCATTCCTAATTTTGAGACATTGGCCTTGGTGATTCTGACGATTGTAACGATTGGACATTCAGTCTTGTTTGTGTTTTTGTGTTTGTTTTGGTTTCCCATCAACCCTCTGTGGGTATTGTGGTAGGCGCGGGTGATGGGTAAAGCCTAGCCCTGATGTCTCACCGAGATCTGATGACCGCGATTTGGTTCGTCTCGTCTGATTCTCCTAAAAGTTTTGAGACAAGTTCCTCATTCAATTTCTTTTTCCTTCTGATTTGTGTTTCTCACTTTGGTTTCTCAACTCTGCTGTTTAAGATTACCTAGTTTTTGTTTATTTTTTTCGGCCGGTTCTGATCGTCTCCCTTTGTGGGATTGACTCGTGGCTATCTTAATTGTGGTATTTTGCTTTTGTTTGAAACAATTTTCTTACTCTATCTTTTATTACTACTTGTAAATCGTGCTCTAGTAGGCTATATTATCTACTTATAAAAGATTATGTGTTACATTCTGGACTCGTGGCCCTCAGTACCAATCTCCTTACCTCACAGATATCATTCTCACCAAGTACATAAGTATCCCAATGATCTATCTGCATATTCATATCCCTTAGTGTGAAAATGAAAGTGTATAATCTAACCCAGCTCAGACTTGCCTTTTAAAATGCCTCATAAACACACCTTGATCCCCCCAACCACCCTCCATCTAATACCATCCACGCTCGCAACCCAACTCCCCAAATTCCCTCCCTGTACCAGAAAGCCAAACAGCACTCCATTCCTCCGCACCTCGCCCGCTTCCTTTCAGCACGAGCTACACGCCGTCCGAGGACTGCTGTTGCTCTATGGATGAACGAAAGAGGGTGGGAGACACTAGGAGAGATGGGGCGTTTGGGGTTCTGATGTGCAGGGGTTGAATTTGAGACGGATAGGTGCGTTTGTGGAGGTTGAGTGTATTGAAATGAAGGAAGGCTGGGTTGTTGGGCGAGGTGGAGGTTTCGGAAGTATCTGTTTCCATGTTCTGTCATCATAGCTGGTGGTGGTGGTGGTGGTGGTGGTGGAATGGAGCAGACAAACGAAAGGAAAAAGGAGGAATCTATAATGGACAAAAAGAAAGAGTAGATGGATGGATGGATGTGTAGGAAGTAGGAAGTAGGAAGATGTATGGGGATATGCGTGCAACCAAAGCACCTCGAAAGAGCCAAAACAAACATGTAGCAGAAATCCATCCGCCACACGTCCATCTCAGCTCAAAGCATCCGTACCCCTCGACCTCCCCGTCTCCATCTTAGCCGTCCTCGCGCCAAATTGAATAGCCCTCTTCTTCTCACGAGAAACCTTCACCAAACCCAGCCGCAGAGCAACAAGTCGCAGCGCTAACTTCTCAGAATCAATACCGGCTGTAGCTTCGATCTCTGGAAGCCCGAACCCGCACTTCTCCCACACAGGAGCCCGCAGCACCCAAGCCACGAATTCCTCGTCCAGGAATGGGAACCGCGTCTCGCGGCCCCAGTGGGAGAGGACTCGGTCGTCCCGGCCGAGATTGCGCGAACCGAGCCGACTAACATCGAGGTCGATCTCGGCAATTAGGTTTTTGAATCCGCCGCGGTTGAAGGCGACGCCGTGTCGGCCGTAGCCGGCGAAGAGCTCGTCGGCACCCAGGCCGGAGAGGAGGACGCGGGAGGTGGTCGTGTAGAGGGGTGATGGAGGAGTATCTGGGCTTGGGAGTTGGGCTGAGGGGTTTGTTTGTGCTGTGCCTTGGCCGCGGGATGCGAAGTACAAGGCGCATGCGATTGAGATGTCCATTTCGGTGTTATGGGGTCTCATCAGGCGCTTGACTTGGTCTCTGTGTGCGAGTGTTTCTGTGTACGGGATGTCGATGGCGATGAAGCGCCATGTGCGGCCTGGACAGGTTGCTTGGAGCTCGATGTGAGCGGACCGGCCGGTTATCCGGTCTGGACAGTTTTCGTATATTGAGAGGGGTGGTGATGAGGAGGAGGGGGATTTTTGTTGATTGGCTTTTGCGGCTGCTGCTACTCGGGGATTTTCGAATGCTACGTTGAGGAGATCGATTGGTTCGTCGAGGGGGAGAATGTCGTGAGAGAGTCTGGCGAGAAGTGTGCAGTCTAAACCGCCGGAGAAGAGAACGGCTGTTTTGGCGGTCTCCCCTGCAATGTAGCCTGGAGGCTCGGGAATGTTCTGAATTCTCAATTCGAGTGATTGGCGCAGTTTTGACTCAAGCTCCTTGACGAATACTGAGTCTGTTGTCAGTGCAGGAGGCTGCTCTGTTGGCAGTGATGTGTTCATTGGTGGAATTGATTTTCTCTTTGGTCTCTTGTCAGTTGCTGCTCTCGGCAGGAAAATATGAAGGACATACAATGTGATCAGCTGGCGGCGAAGCAGCAGAGCTCCATGGCAAGATCTTGATTTGGCACAACTCTCTGGGAGATAAAGAGGGATCTTGATAGCGAGCTAGGTCAATCGTACAAACGCCCTCAGTGCCTACTTCTTTAAAGCAATCCACCGAAGCGCTGTCACATATGCTGCAAATCCTCAAATTCCCATTTTCATCAAACCCCTCTAAGAGAGATCGCCTCCCAAGACAATCTCTACTGTAGAAGAGCCTTGAGTTGACCGCATCATAGAAGACAAATGCAAATGGCCCAGAGAGACTTGCAATAGCTTCAGACATTCTTTCAACAGAACTATTCTGATCACCGTCCACTGCCTGTAGAAATAAGTTGAAAACGCGTTCGGTATCATTGCCTTCGACGCGCTCCCCAGCAATCTTCCAGGCTTCTCCGTTCCAGCAGAGCACGGACTGGGTTGTGGGGTCTACAAGTGGCTGCATGTACACATGGTCACCTCTCAGTGAAAGCACTGTGGATGTGAAGGTGAGATAATAGGAAAGGGGCGGTGACTCTCCATCCTGTGCGTTGATGTCCTTTTGCGCTGTATGCGTTTTGTAGCTGTCTGGTCCTCGCTTTTGGAGCAGAGTGCATGTCTCCTGTGTTGATAGTGTTGGCTTTGATGAGCTCAACGAAAAGAAAATGCCACACATGGTGGAGGAACAGGGTGGGAGTGTTGTTTATTCTGAGATGATTAGCTTGGTAGCTTTTTTTGGATATATTAGTGCCTGAGGCATTAATGCATTAGTCATGTCTATAGATCCATGACCTGGGCATTCATGAGGTCGGCTGTCACCAGCAGATGCATTCACAGATTGGAAGGTGTCAAAATGATAGATGGATTCTTGTCAGATGATATTTGTCTCTTTATACTGAGTTTGAATTTCAATTCAGTGAAAAGTGAACGGCATCATGGAGGTACCTCTGAAGGTACAAAGGTTGAACATTGTTGAACTACATATAGGTACTAGGAACTAAATAGATATTTGTTGCTTGTTGGTAAGTCCATAATGTTGTTTTCATTGATACTTCTGCCTGTAAATTTAGTCTCCTCGAATGAGAGAAAGAAATCCTCCATAAGTTGATGTAGCCTCCAGGGCTAAATAGGGCAGCGGACTACCTCGGTTGAATGATGATCCGTATATCAACATGAGAGAGCCGCATGAGCATACTCGGAGCCTTTATGACCCCCCTGAACCTATAATTTCTGCCCGGGAGCATATGTTAATATAGCTTATGTCGGCCACAGAATCCCCGTCCTCTCCGGGTCCAGAGACGAGAGACGTCCCCCATATCCATGAACACACCGAGACGCCGGCCGCCCCAACCGATCTCCTAGCTCAAACACAGGACGATCTCACGAAACCAGATAGCAGTCAAACAGTCCAAATGAGTGCACAAGACAGAACAGAGCCACACGATGTGGCTGCTATCTCCGATCCCGCCGCGACCGCCGCGATGGACCTGACGATAGCTGCCCAACCATCACAGGCCGAGCAACAACTTCTTGCGGGGCAGATGGAAGGACTGTCAGTCTCAGGAAACACAACGCCTAATCCATCATCCAGCGCAAATACTCCTCCTCCCCCTCCGCCCCAGAAGGACGATGTCTATCTCAACCTCATCGCAAGCTCCACCACCACGGCCCCAACACTGCCACCCATCGACACAACCTGGACCCCCAGCCCCGAGAAAGAGCTCCCAGATGTCCCTAGTGATAGTGACCCGGACTCTAAACAAGGTGCTCAGGTTGAAGCACCCAAGGACGATAATGCCTCCCAGCCGGAGATTCAAAGTATTATGGGACAATTCCAGGACCCCGCGCGAAGCACCGACCAGAAAGAGATCATGTCTCCGCGGCTCGAGCTTGCTGAGAAGTTCCGAGGTGGTCCAACATACTTCCCGCCACGCAAATCCAGTTTAGACCCTGCGCCTTCCACCGAGCCCGCGGGTTCGCCGGTCGCTACATCCCCGGTGAAGCAGCCTGTATCCCAACATCCTCACAAGCCCGAACCGCCGGTAGAAAATCGGCGAGCGTCCACCTCGACGGTCCTACCACTGCCGGAACCAGAGTCTGATCAACCATTCGATTTCCACCGCTTCCTAGAACAGCTTCGTCACCGCACCGCTGACCCTGTAGCCAAATTTCTACGGTCGTTCCTCACGGAGTTTGGCAAAAAGCAATGGATGGTTCACGAGCAAGTCAAGATCATCAGCGATTTCCTGACATTTATCACAAATAAGATGGCCATGTGCGAGATCTGGCGAGATGTATCGGATAGCGAATTCGATAATGCCAAAGAAGGCATGGAGAAACTTGTTATGAATCGCTTGTATTCGCAGACTTTCGCTCCAGCCATTCCAGCTCCGCCAACGATACCTAGAAGTGCAAGTCGGAGCCGACGGAGAGAGTTAGAGAGGCTCCATGGGCCGTGGCGACGTGGCCAGCACCAGGAGGACATTGAGCGAGACGATATTCTGGCCCAGAAGATTCGCATTTACGGCTGGGTCAACGAATCACATCTGGACATCCCGACTGTGAGCGGCGGTGGACGCCGTTTCTTGAATCTGGCACAGCAAGGTATGTATTGTGGGCTATCTTGGGGTCTTCTAAGGTTTTAAGATTCTAACTTTGCTTGACAGAAATATCAAAAATCAATGGCTACCGCGCTCCCCGAGATAAGGTCATTTGCATTTTAAACTGCTGCAAAGTCATCTTTGGTCTATTAAAGAATTCCAAGAAGGCCGACACATCCGCCGACTCCTTTATCCCCCTCCTGATCTATGTGGTTTTGCATGCAAATCCCGACCATCTTATTTCTAACATTCAATACATTCTTCGATTCCGAAACCAGGATAAACTTGGCGGCGAAGCAGGTTATTACATCTCATCGTTGGTATGTTTGACCTCCGTCCTGTCCTAGATATCAAAAGCTGACCTCTTTTAGTCTGGAGCCATCCAGTTCATCGAGACCCTCGACCGCACAAGTCTAACCGTCAGCGATGAGGACTTCGAACGTAACGTTGAAGCCGCTGTGTCTGCTATGGCAGAACAAAACCGGGAATCCGAAACCTTTGAAGAAAAGCCCTCCACCCAATCCCCTACAATTCAGCCCCAGGCCGGACCCAGCCGCAAAGAAACTACCCAATCCAGCGACGACGACGCTTCCGCTCCAGTCGCAGGACTACTACGCACAATCCAAAAACCCCTCTCCACCATCGGCCGAATCTTCTCCGACGACCCAGACTCAGGTTCTGTCGCTTCTCAAGAACGCCCCCAGCCTGTCCCCACTCCTCAACCTGGTGTTGCTCCGCCCCGTCTTACCCCGAACGTCTACCAGCCTCCTCGCGCAAGCAGCGAGGATACCCGCCGCTCAGGCGATGAGCGCGCCCACTCTGCCCATGGTAGCGGAACCTCCGCGAAGAAGAATCTAACCCGCGTACTCGACGCTCAGGACGCCGCCGCACGCCAGGCTAGTGCGGAGGATGCGGAGGCACGCCGTATCCAACGTGCTGAACATAAGAATGTTGTCGAGACACTTTCGAACATGTTTCCCAACCTAGATCGTGAGCTTATTGATGACGTGGTTAAGATGAAAGAGGGGAGGTGAGTACTTTATATCCTTGCAGAAGTTTGAATGTTCTATTGGGTCTTGACTAACTGTTCTTCGCAGGGTTGGTCTCGCTGTTGATGCTTGTCTTGCTCTCAGTGCAGAATAGTATATAGAATAATGTAGCATCTTTGCTTGTTCGGGAATATTATGTCAGGAACAGTCCAAGCGGCAATGCTGTCTCTCTCCTTTGACTTGAAATCAAATTAAACCTAGAGGTGTATTGTTGTATGAAAAGATAACTTATAGCCTCTTTCGCTTGGCAGAAGGCAGGGTATAGCGTTGGTGGTTACACCACATTGCGTCCGAACTAAATAGAACTATCAATTATTGCTGCGAGAATATCCCATTTGATTGAATTTACATATTGATATGCCATTAAGTATAATCTGTTATGCAAAGGATGGTCATCGGCAGTTGAACATAGGCGAATGCCCTCCAACCCCAAAGATCCTCGGCTCGTTTTCCCCGCAAAACCGCGGTCGTCTCTCGGAATTCTACTGCCCTCATTCTCCTTATGTCTTATAATAATTCCGAGCTGGAATAGATAAAGTGATCTCTTCTTTCTCTAAGAGCAATATCGGACACCATGTCATCATCCCCTTTCCGCATCGTTGAGCATGTCGTGCCCACTCAGCACATCAGGGAGTATCCTGGAGCCACGGCCACGGACCAAGAAGAGCCCTTACATTTGGCCGTGAAACAATATATCCCACTGGACAATCCCAATCCGCAACCAGGCGATATTACTATTCTTGCTGCCCACGCCAATGGCTTCCCCAAGGTATGAGATACAAAGTGCCGAGGTCCAGAGCCGCCAGACCCGCTTTTGGAGCTGCGCGTATTACGATGGTCTTGGAAGCATATAATCAGCGATGTACTGATCATTTCTTGCAGGAACTATATGAGCCCCTTTGGGAGGAAATCCACGCTCGATCTAAGCAGAATGGAATGCGCATCCGCAGTATCTGGATGGCCGATGTGGCGCAAGAAGGCCAGAGCAGCGTGATCAATGAACATTCCCTCGGAAATGATCGTATGTGATATGAAGGTCTTGAGAAGCGATTGTGATACTAACTTCGCTACAGCTAGCTGGTTCGACCATCCCCGAGATCTCCTCCACCTTGTCAATGTCAAGCGAGCTGAGATGCCCCGGCCTATTGTTGGCATAGGGCATAGCATGGGAGGCGCCCATCTGTAAGTCTCTATAACAAGAACATTCAAGCAGCTAGCTAATATACCCCCTCAGAGCACAACTATGTCTAATGCACCCCCGTCTCATCCACAC